TTATCCATTCAGATTTCACTCATTGAAAAGAAATTTAAAATGATTTAAAACCAGATATTGCAATTATGTTCTCAAGCACAAATAATATCTTATGTACTTTTGGGATGGTTATTTTGTTATTTTTGCTTCTGTTTTTCCTGAAATCCCTTGTGATCTTTCTTTCAAAACTTTTCTAGTGTGTCTATTTCTTCATCCAAATAAGAAAAAAAAAAAAAAAAAAGAGAGAGAGCAACATGGAGCTTGACTGCTTTTCCCTTAAATCCTTAAATCTGCAGGAGAAAAAAAGCATTTTGTACTACGTGCACACCCAAATAAATGAATAAATGCTAAATATGTAGATTATGATTTTGCATAGCATTCTGCCAATCAAATATTCCTTAATTTGAGCTTGTTGTCAAAATGGATGGCCTTTATAAATTTCATTTGTACTGTGGAAAAGGGTCATTTGGATATTCAGTGTCAGTTTTGAACTTCCTCAATAAAGTGTAGCAAAGTAAGGTGGATTGATGGAGCAGAAGCCATTGATGTCACTGAGAATTTACTTGAGACTTTACTTTTGTGATGCTCTGCCATCTTTATTAGAAGAGTTCTTAGGTTCTTTCACAGTGTAGCTCCTTGTTCATCATACACCATATTTAAATCAAAAAGTACCAGTTAATGTAACATATCCAAAAATATACATCTTAGCTGATTTAATGAAACATTATTTTCATGTAGCTCAAAGTAATTAGATTTATTTACTGAAATACTTGGTTGCAGAATTTTAAGCCAAAGTTTGCTACAGTTGCTTTACTCAGGGGAAATACTGCCAGGGTATAATAGAAATACAACTGAATTGTCTTAAACGTTTAATTAGATTTTTTTTAATTTCAAAACTTCATTATCTGACTTCAGAAGAGATGGCTTAGTATGATGCATTAGAAGCACAATGGGATTGAAAATTTGTCTAGAAGTAGCTTATATATTTAAAGAACATATAAAAGATATTGAATAATTATTTTGTGTTTAAGAGGCTTATGGAAATGCTAAAGATCAGTCTCTTTAAGAAAAGAGAAAATGTTCTTGGATATCTCTTCAGAGGTGAGACAAATCAAGACAGTTGTACAAGTACTTCATAAAACTGCTATTTTTATTTCTGTAATGGCTGAACATTTGGTTCTGTGACATTGTAACTGGGGACTACTGATTCTTTCAGTGAAGAAAGATTGCTAAAAGCTATCTATATCTGCTGTTGTTCCCTATGGAATAATGAGAATTTTACTTAGAGTAGTGAATTTGTGTCAGACCTGTGTTCTTTTCAGGAAGGCCTGTCCTGACTTCCTCTTTGTGCTTCAGGAACATACCTCTGATGAACAGTAATTGGAACCATTGAAAGATACTAAAAGCTATATTGTATTTTCTGGGGGAAAAAAAAATAAAATTGCTCATTCTAATTTTATAATCCATCTTTATTAAAACAATCCGAATCTAGTTTTTCCAAAATATTAATGCTGGAGTGTTGTTGCTGTCCAAGTTGCTTCATTTAGCCTACCTTCACAAAGTGCCCTGGTTTTCTCACAGCTTTCAGATAGTTCAGTCGCAGGATGGCAGATCATTTGGTGGGTGTTTAAAGCTTTATTTCTGGTAAGTTTAGACTTCTACAGTTTAGAAGTCTGCATTCTGAAACAATCTTTTTAAGAGCAAATTATAGCTAATACTGAGAAACAAGATTTTTTTTTAAAAAAAATGTGATTCATCTGGTTTATTTATCTTTCTTGTTTAGAACAAGTCAGGTAGTACTTTGTCACTTCTTGATCTTTGCTGGCTGTGGAGGGAGGTGAAGATGACCACTTTTGATGTTTGTATGGATCTTCCTCTTTTTTGTTGGTTTAAAACCTGATGTGAGAATATAGTGTGAAATGGTAGATTTTGAAAGAGACAGACAAAAACGTGGTAAGATAAGAAAGATGAGAAAGAGAACATAAAAAAATATTTTTCATTTGTTATCTTTTCGTACCCACGTGTGTTGTGCTATGGTTTATAGCTACCTTTTCGTTCAGAAATGTGATGCCAGTGTCATGAAAATAAGAGGTGCTCCAAGGCAGAAAATTTGCAAAGAAGCACATTGTCCAAGTAGTTGTAATCTCGTTCTTTCAACAAATGTTTAGTGTAGGAGGGCCTGAAGACTTCATTCAACGGGGAGACAGTTCAGTATATGTTTCTGTTTTATATAAATACCAGGAACATTTGGTACATTTACTGTTTTTTTCTGTAGACATAGTGAGGCAGAGTGAGAGTGGGGTATTTTTTTCCATTTGAAGTATTCAAATGAAAGTTAAAAATATTAACTAGAATTTTTTTTCCACTGGGGCACTGGTTTATGAAAATATGATAAACAGTATAACTGTAAGACATTTTTGTGAGTTAATATGTATAAGATGTGCCAAAGTTTTGTTTCCTGCTGTAGTGGATTCATCATTAATTTTCTTGTTTATTTAGAAAAGTCCTTTTTTTCTAAATTCATGTGGATACTTATCCTTAATTCTATTTTTTGAAACTGTTAAAAAGAGCTTCTCTGCTGAAAATTGTGGGCTTGTCTTTGTGGAGTTTAAAATCATGAGGCAGATCAGGTTGGAGGTAGACAGATAAATACTTAATATTGATGTTTTTAACAGGTTCATGTGAAACTTGTCATCTTAAATTGACTTTACTTTGTCCATCTAAAGTCTAGTAATTTTCTGTCTTTCTGTAAGTCCTACTTACAGCTCTTAGTAATTTTTCTATTTGTGGAGTTGGTAATGGACATGTTGGTATTTCTTTGCAACTTTTTCTGGCCTCTCAGGGACCTTTATGCTATTCATTTTATTTTTTGTGAGCTGCAGAGCTGGCATTTCAGTTTAGATTAATTTTGCTAAATGCACTTCACCTTAGCTACTTGTCTAATTTGAGTTAGGTTTCTTTATTGCTAAATGTTTTGGTTCTTTGGCTGATGCTGACCTGTTTGCCTTCCTTCAAACCTTTCTTGTTATCTCCATTGTTTTCAAATATTTTTACCATGAAAATACTTTCATATTATGTTATTCTCTTAATGTGTTTTTCTGTGGAGGGATTAAGCTTAATAAGTGAAATGAAGCCAGGTTTGTTCTAGAACCTGTCTTTTATGAGAGGAGTCTAACAGAGAAAGTGATAGGACCAGAGGACAGAGAAGAGGAGCATTAGCTCCCACTTACTGCCATTGTTTCCATAGAGCATAGGGAAAATTTGCTGTCCATTGTGGGGCATCTCCCTCCTTTTTATAGCATTTGCTGCTGACATAAAGATTCTCTTCCTCCTAACAAAAGGATGTGATATTAAAAAAAATTGGTGTTGTAGTCCACTGCTCTGTTATTGTTTTGAAAGGTAGTGTTATATCAGAGTTTATTATATAGGGTATATGAAATATGTTGAATCTTCTTTTAGAAACTGGGTTTATAGAACTGTAGTCCAGTGCAAAGGTGGAATTCATTTAATTACCAGTAAATGACTATTGGTTAATTGTTTACAACCCTGCCACTTCTGAGATCATCCCATGCTATTATTTTATGCTGCACTCCCGTTTCATTTACCAGATTTCCCTAGTAAGTAAATATCTAAGGTAATGCCTCATTGGCACAACCTAATCTTCTTGTCCTACAGCTGTTAATATTTCACAATCCAAAACCATTTATCCCTTAGAAGATGTGCACCCACATATAGACACCAATGCACACAGGAATGCTTTGGTAAGACCTTGCTACCAGTGCCACTAGTAGTGGTAAAATCACAGATATGTTGAAATTATTCCAAAATATATGTAATGGTAATGGTTATTGCCAATGGATAAATAAGTGCTTTAAGGTAGAATAATCAAATGTGACAACCTAAAATGTCGTTGGGCATCTCTAATTACATACTGCAAAGCCAAGATACAGCTAATAGACGAGTTTCAAGATACATATTCTTGGCCTTCTCTTACTTTTTATTTTATATTACCTTGCAGGTATGTAATGGAGGAAATTCCTTCTTAGGTATACCATGCACAATTTAGGTAGAATTAACCTCTTCTGCACCTCTCTCTCCTTGAGAATAAACCAGGGCTGGGACAGATGCTGCCTTGATATTCATTTTGATACAGTAAGGCACTGTGAGGTGCTGAAAGAGGGAAACTACACCTTTTACTTGGAGCCTTCACAGGTCATGTTAAACTCTCTTCTGCAGCTGTATGGGAACTTTGGAAGTAAAGAGTCAGGACAGCACTTTCTGTTTCTTTTCAAAATGGATTAATTCAGATTCCATGCCTTTAGAAAGACAATGTAAAATTGTGGTTCATGTTGAAGTGTGAATTTCTTTAAATGCACTTGTTTGGTAGACTTGGTTTCCATGAGTTAGGTGTCATTTGGATTCTGTGCTTTTCCAGTGTTGAGAATCAGAGAGTTTTTGGGGGATGGGGAGTGGGAACATCTGTTTTCTTTTGTCTGATTTTCTTCTATTCCAAATACTTGCTGGAAAAACAAATCCTCCTTGAAAAGCTATAGTCTGCTTTCTAAATAAAATTCAGTGGTTTTCTGAGAAGTTTTTTCAGGGCTTTTTCTTCTGTGAAGACTGGTGACATATTTACACATTCTGTGCATGGTGCTAACATAGTCCTCTTGTTCAGAGATTGTTCATATATAGCTTGAGGGCTCTCAAAATGCTTCTGATCCTCTTTCAGGTGTGAAATGTTTAGAATAAAGTAATTTATTATATATTAATTCTGGTTAACCAGGCATGATTTGAGATTTTCACAGTCTGCAAGAAATTAAGTATTCATTAACATTTAAAGCCATTAGACGACACAGTTGAGCAGTAAATGATTCATTCAGTCCCATTACAGTTAAAGTAAATGTGCATTGGTTTCTGACTAGAAGATAAGTGGTGTCTGTCTTTGTTTTCAATTATTTTCCTCATTCTTGCTTTATTTATTTTATGCACTTCATTGGCTTGTCTTTCTTTTCCTGAAACAGAAGAAGAAGAAGTGGAAAATTTTGATGTTTCCAGTCTGCCTGAAGAAGTGCTGCAGAACATAGAAGCTGATAGTTACTGGTGCATGAGCAAGTTGCTTGATGGCATTCAGGTAAATTGATTTTTCCTGTCTGTAAGTAGTGGAGTTAACCGATTAGTGCATGGCTTTGAACTACTTCAAGGCTGAAAAAGAGTATGTCTATGAAAAACAGGGGAAAAGTTGATTTTCCCATTGGAGAAACCCACTGTGAATTTGGCATAGAAAGGAAAGAAAGGAAAAGGAAAAAAAACCTGTGCAACTTCTCTTCATCAGAATGTCTGCATGTTTGATTGTGTGTGATGTTCTAGAGCAGAACAGAAACTTCCAGTTCTAGATGTGTATTTTGCAAATCTGTTGCCAAGCATGAACCATAGTTGCTCATGATCTCACTGAGGTGGTAAAAACCTGACTGATTTATTAATTTTTAAGTTGTTAATATAGCAACTTATAAGTGATTGCTGTCATAATAGTTCCTGAAATTATCTTCATATTTTTAAAATACCTATTTAAAACTTGTTACTTACACTGCTTCACTGAGTGTTTGAATTTTTTCTGTGTGGAAAAGCTATAAATGCAGGCACAATTTTCTGTTACATGCAGCAAGTTGGACTCTAATAATGGTAGATTTTTGTGTAAATGTTCATGAGCATAAAAGTTTATGAAGACTAGAAGTATCTACAATATTCTTTCCTATGACATGTTTTAATATGAATGTTTCATTGGCTAAGGTGCATTGTGAATTGAAACTTGTAACAGGGTTCATTTCTGACAAAACAGTTATAGAATTTAGTCAGCAACAAAAGGCTTTAACTTTCTTAAAGGTATTTTAAGTCCATTTCTCCTGGTTAATGGTCAAATAGCTCAGTGTTTTGTGTGGTATTTTTGAAATGCATAGTAATTTTCTCATGTCAATTCCTGTAACAAATACTGGTTTGCTTATTTCAATCACTCAGAAGTCCTAAATTTTTAAAGTACTTAACCACATAGCAAAAATATGTGAAAAGTTATATAGAGAAAAAGTGAGAGCTTGAAATCTACTGGAAAGAAAGCAAGCCAGGTAAAGAAATGCAACCCTCCAACTGTTTTACCTGCTTCTGGAACATCATTGTCACTGGCCTGTTGCTTTATTTTTTTTTCTAGGAAAGGAAGTTCACAGATTAGGTAATTGCTCCTTAAAATTCTGTTTTCATATAAAACCATCAGGTACTGAGAAGCAAAATATGGAAACCAATTGCAATGGAATTAAACTGCATCGATGAAAATTTAAGCTGTTATACAAATGGAATAGTGTTGGCTGCATTCAAGGATGCACTCATCTATCAAAAGAAGGCTTGAAAGATTATGCTAGCAGTGTGACTAATGATGTTACAGTTAATTCAGTGCAACTGCAGTGCTGCTGAAATAAAAGGGTTTCTTGTTTTTCTTCTCCCATTCTCCTGTTTTGTTTCCTTTCTGTGATGATATCACTTTACTAAACAGATAACCCAATAGTGTAGCTGCAGGTTGAGTTGATTGGAAGAGCTAACCCTGTAGAGAAGGATTTGGGATACTGGTGAACATGACTGGCAATGTGCATTTGCAGCTCAGAAAGTCAGCTGTGTCCTGGGCTGCATGCAAAGCAGGTGGACAGCAAGGGGAGGGAGGGGATTTTGCCCCTTTACTGTGTTCTTGTGAGACTCCACCTGGGTGCTGCAGCCATTTCAGGGATCCCCAGCACAGGACAGACATGGACCCGTTGGAATGGGTCCAGAGGAGGGACATGAAGGTGATCTCTCCTATGAGGAAAGGCTGGGAAGATTGAGCTTGTTCAGCCTGGAGAAGGTTCTGGAGAGATGTTACTGTAACCTTTCAGTACTTAAAGGGAGCTTTTGAGAAAGCTGGAGAGAGACCTTTTACCAGGGCTTGTAATGATAGCACATGGGGCAATATTTCAAACTGAGAGTAGATTTAGATTGGACATAAGGAGTGCATTTTCTATGATGAGGGAGTCCAAAGAAGTTGTAGATGTCCTCTTCCTGGAAGCGTTCAAAGCTAGGACTGATGTGGCTTTAAACAGCCTGATGGAGCTGACACTGTCCTGCTCCAGGGTAGGAGGTTTGGACTAAATGAACTTTAAATTAGGTTCCCAGTGGGTTCATTGTGTGATGCTATAGTTCTGACTGACTTGCATTCTGGATGCACAATCATTTTTTCTCTGAAAATATGGCATAGAAGATTCCTGTGTGATGTATGTGATGGTTTTGTCTGAGATGTCTGAATAAAGTATACAGGGATATGTGGCATGTGGTAACTGCAATCAAAGAATCTCTGTAGAGTATTTCCATTAATTTATTCATCGATATAAGCTTCCATTTCATGTTGCCCTACCAGTATTGAAGAAGTTTAAAGAGTGCAATTTGATAACAGTTAGGGTCATCTTGTGAAATTTTTGGCTAATATGAACTAGGTACATTTTTTTGTGTGTTTTGTCTTTTCAGTGCAGAAGGGTGGAAGAATGTATGATTGTATTTGTACATCTTTATTATTCTTAACAGAAAACTCATTTATTTTTCCAATCCATCCAGACAGTCTCATTTTCTTGATTCTAGAATTGTCAAAGGTGTTATTAAGACGTATTGCATTTCTTGCTTGAGTTTTACCACACATAGTATCTATTATTTCTTCACTCCTCACTCATCTTCCCTCCCTCCCTTATGTATCTAATGTGATTGTGTGTTTTTAATATAAGAATGCATCTTTGAACCACGGAGACCTGTGCAATAATGAACAGGAGCTGGCATTGGGCAGCAGGATAGTCACTTCCTGACATGCATACAGTTCTCAGCTGAGAGAAGAAATAAAAACATGTTCAAATCATTTGTCTCTTAGCAGATTCCTCTGGGCTTTTTTTTTGTCATCTGTAGGTTCCTGTGCAAGTATGTTTTTGGCTCCAGCTAGAAAGTTTGCCGAACTTTTCCAGTTTGAATGTTTGATCTTGCATGATAATTTAATGTATTTTTTGTTCTTAGATTACTTTGCATCTTCTTTCTCTGTTGGTAGTATCTAAGTTTAGGCTTCTAAGTGACTACACATATGTCACATCACAGTTTGATTAAAGTTTTCAAAATTGATCTAACAAATACTAGGACTTTTTGAATATAAATTTATCTTTCTAAAATATCATTTAATATTGAAATCTGTAGCTGTCTTATAGCAGTCAATTTTGGATGATGATGTATGTAATGGTTTTCCTTTGCAGTGCTTCATGAGTCTGTGCTCTAAATTTTTTCTTCAATTTTTGTCCCAGAAAGACTATGCCTCATTGCAATTGCTTTTTATTTATCTCAGGAGAACAAATGACAGCTTCTGAAATCATAAGAACATAGGATAATTCTGCTTGATGTATGGCCAGCTCTGAGATCAGACTGAGTTTCTGAAGGCTTTGTCCAGTTGTGTCTTGAACCCTCCAAAGACAGACTTCACAATCTCCAGGGGATAACTTATTCTAGTGCTTCCTTGCCCTTAGGTTGAAGTTTCTCCCCAGTAGGCAGATGGAACATTTTTTGTTTATCCTGCTTGTCTCTTGTCTTCCCACTGTGCGCCATTATTAAAAAGGGAGGTTCATCATTGTGGTAACATGGGTTTTATCAGGCTGGGATTAGGTGTTTCTGGAGCTTTATTTTCTTCAGGCTGAACAAGCCCAGTTTCCTCTCTAAGAGCACATGCTCCATATCTCTGAGCATCTTGGTGACTTTTTACGCTTGCTTCGGTTTATTCTGAAGTTCATTACCTTTTTCTTGTATCAGAGTCCCCAAAGCTGGATGTGGTATTTTAGATGTGATCTTGAAATACAAGAAATTCTTTTTAAACATTTCAAGGAAAATCTATACAGTAAATATTGAACTCTAGAAGTGTTTGGTCAGAGATGTTGTAGGATCCTCATCCTGGAAGTTCAAAACCAGACTCCACATGGCCTTGAGCATCTTGCTCCAGGTGACTTGGCTTTGGGCAGTGCTTCGATGGCCTCCAGAGATCCCTGCCAGCCTCTGTGATTCTGCAATGATCAAGATGTGATTCTGAGTGGGGATAATCACTTCATCTACTGGGCCAGGTGTCTGCTGGATGGCTTTGCTGCCAGAGCTTACCAGTGACTCAATCTGAGCTTTCTGTCTACTGAGATTTCAGGTTCTTTTCCACAGAACTTGTCTGCAGCCTGTATTCTTGCAAGATGTGCTGATTTATGCTGGTTTATAAAAACCTGGCTCTGAGGCTGTGTGTGGCCGTATGCAAAATACATCTTCCATGTGTGTGATAAAGCTGGTTGTCTTTACAGCACTTCTGAACTGTAGATGATGCATGAGCATTTTTGTAATTTCATCTGTGGCTGTTCATAGGGGAAAACTAGAATTATCCCATGAGTATTTTTTCCATGTAATTAAGTAGACATTCCCATATATCCAGATTATTAACTTTTTTTTTATTACTAAATTATCCTTTATAACTCTTTCCTCCACACTGTCTCATTAACATTCAAGTAAAAAGTTCACATTGATCTGTGCCACCTGAAAACTTAATGTTCATGTATAAAATAGAGTATAACTTTTCATTTTAAGTTCGAGTATACTGGTAATAAAATAACCAAAAGGGAAATACATGCATTGCATAATGATCTAAGCAGATGTATTAAAAATAGCACTAAAATATTAATATAATTATTTATCAGGGCCTGGTAATTTTTGGAATAAAAGTGAGATAAATCATATCCAGGGACTGCAGTGTGCTGAGGTACATATTAACTATTTCTGTGGCTGATAAAACAGCACGATTCATGACCTTCAGAGGGAATCCTGCAGAGTTCTTTCTCACTCCTGAGTTATGGAAAGTTGTTGCTAACATATGCCTGATCTGGATGATGGACGGATGGATGGATGGAAGGAAGAAATGGTACTTGGAAAGCCTTTCAGAGGTCTGCCACATCCAATAAATAACATGAATGTGCATTTCAAATGTTGAGAAGTATGTGCAGAAATAACTCGTCTGAAAATTCTTCACAGAACCTTTCTGAGGTTTATTTTAAGGGAAAAAATAGGTCTGTTATGGCTTTCTTTGTACCTTTTTTTTGAACTCCTGCAAGACAAGTTTCTTGGTCATGTATGCAGTTCACCTGGGTGGTTAGTTTAGGATTATGCTGAATTGCAGATCTTCTTTTCTGTGTGTATGAGTTTGTTAGCCTCCCTTTAGAAGCTAATAATGCAGTTTTCCACCTGCCACCGAGAGTAAAATTTTCAGGAAGACAACAAATCTATTTGTAATCAGTAGATGAAATATACTGTGCCATCAGTATATTTCAGCATAAAAATATTTTATCCTCTACCTAAAATTTGCAGCATCAGCTTTTGGGATTGTACATGTTTGTATTTATGATTTCTATCTCTAATCCAGATTTGAACTGTTATTGGGCCTATGCTATAATCCAAAAATATACCCTGAGCACTTTTGTCATTGCTACTTTAACAGTTTCTGTAATTTACAATACATCCACTTGTGTAAAACTGATTACACAGACCAGTAGAAGGTTGGATCTCTGGTTTTCACTCTACAGATGCTACTCTAACATGAGACTCAGTACCTACATTTTAATAAATTGTTGTTTTTGTTGTCCTGTTGTATAGGGATAAGTTAAATACTGTTTTGCATGTAAAAATTTTGGGCTGCAATGCTTTGCAAATGTTTTTCCTACTACTTAGGATATTTTGCATTTTATAAAAGTCAGGATGGTTGACAGACCTTTTCTTCTAAAGGCAGTGTTTTGGAGTAATTATGGAACATACTATGGACTGTGCTAACGGCATAGTCCAGCACATTTGTGTTTGTTCTTGTGCATGCACACTCTATCCTGAACTGTATTCAGGAGTGAATTTACATTATAATCTCCATCTTCAAGACACATTTTGGTTAAACTCTGTTTCCATTAATAGTGTTAATATACGTGGTGGCTATCATTATCTAGTGTCATGCTTCCCTCCCTCCTGCCCCTACCTTTTTGCATAACTTCCTGAGCAAGGTGAACCAAGACTTTTTAATAGAAGTTTGCTTAGAGAATTCAGAAATATGTGAATGAAGCACTTAAATGAGTGAAGAAGAAGAATTCAGGAGATCTCTTTGTGACATAATGAGGATAAGAAAACCTTGTTCTTTCAGTTGTCATTTGTTCATGTGATAATATACTTGAACATACTAAATTAATGCATAGAAATTCTTAAATATGCATTGGTAGAGAAAATAGACATCCAAGTCTATTTGTCTGTATGGTTTATACAGATTGCTTAGTGTATCCTCTATATTTAAAAGCTCTGATCTCATTGATAAAACTTCGTTAAAAAGAGCTAATAACACATGAACACTTTGTGTCAAAACTTTCCATTTTCTTTCATAAATGTTTCTGACATTTTCTTCAGTGCATTGTTGGTGAACAGTGTGTATGACCCGAAAAGATTTCTCATCTCAGAGGCATTGTGCCTACACCTCTGCTTGGCTGCAGTCATTATGTCAAATTACTGACAGTAATTTTTCTTTTAATTTGGCTGGCTCTGTTTCCTCCTTCATGATGACATGAAAGACCGTTCTCCATTCCTCTTCAGCTTGCTGCCTTTTCTTTTAAAATTATCCCATCATCACCTATTGAGAGAAAAAGAGGGGGGATTTTCTTCAGCTAGTGCCTATGAAGTCTCTTTCCTTCCCTCTCCCTCTCTCTTCCCCCCGCTCTCCCCTGGAGGACAGTCCCAGGCAAATTTGTTATGATAATTTTTCCAAGTTTCTTCCATTTTGAATTTCTCTACGCTTAAAAAAAAATGTAAGGAATGGTTTAATTAAATATATTTAAAATGTTTAGTGAAGTCTATAATGTTAGTATTTTATTTTAAATTACAACAACTAGATTTTGAGAAATCCTGCCAAACCTGGTTGTAGTTGCAGGGAAGTAGGGTGGTTATACCAGCTTCTACAGAATAAGTAGAGACTACTAACACAAAGGTTTGAAGCTGAAGCAAGTTTTGATCTCTTGTGACATTATAAAGTCCTAACCTTCTGTATTGTGAGGTGAAACTAATTATGTGTTGGTCTAAACTAGATATTATAACCATTCAGCTGTGAAGTAGGTTAGCATAGTTCACTGAAAGTGTGTTGGAAGCTGTGTGAGCAGAACCTCAATGAATGCACATCAGTGCATGAATTTCTATGTTTATCATGGATTCTGGTGTGTACCCATACATACTTTGTCATATGTTATTAATTGTCATTTTGCTTTGTCATAAATGGTTACTAGAAAGTGACAAGAACAGTGTTTAGAAATAAGAGATATTTTATGTGAACTCCTTGTTTTCATCCTGAAATTTTTTATTTCCTCATTTGAAACTTTGACCATCAATAATGAGCGAAAGACAAACTCTGAAACAGTCATAAGTAATTGAGAAAAGAATTGTCTTGGCTGAACAGCCCTGAGCAATAATTCATTAATTTTGTGAGTTTGGCATGTTTTTCTTCTTTTCTGTTGTTCTACTTTTCTTTCATCTATAAGTACAAAAGGAGCAAGAATAGTGGGTAACAGAATACCTTTCACATTTACAAAGTCTTTCTCACAGTTTCATGAACTCCAGGAAGTCAACTACAAGTGTCATAGGAGGGGATATGTACAACACAGTTTAATTAGAAGAGAGTACTGGGAAATCCAAGGAAGATATTTCCAGTTTAGGTGAGTCAGCACAAGTAGAAGTGTGACCCCGCCAGCTGTGTTCATTTGCAGCTGAAATAATGAACAGAAAAATAAATAGACAAAAGATCAAATGCAGTGGAAAGTAAATTTACCTGTTTTCAAATCAAGATGGCAGTTTTGGGTTGCATTTCCAGGTGTGTATGGAGTAAATTAGGCTTTGAGAAAGAAAGTAGTTTCAGGTTCATAGATCACAGTCAAGAGTTACACTACCTGGGGAGAGACTAATGATCGAAGCACTATTGTTTTAACTCTGTGCTGACTTTCGGTGTTAAATACAGGAATGTTCTTTTACAGAGGATAGGTTAGGAAATAATTAAATACTATGTTGCTGTACTTTGAGTGCAATACTACTTCTAGAAACACCAGTTAACTTGGTTTAAATAAATAGAACAGTATATAAACCTTTTGAAACAAACAAAAACGTGAATACGGTTTTTGTTGTTAGAGTACATTCTATAAAGAAAGTGATTTTGATTTCCTAAAGATGCTGTATCTTGGATATTATCCATGACTAATACAGGTGTGTCATACTTGTATAAAGGGCAGTGTTCCAGTGCATGGGATAGTTTCTTTCTCCCTGAAATGAGATTATAATAGATCTCAGTTCTGTGTGAATATTTCCATTGTTTCTGTTTTGGTGCTTTATTTCATTAAAAAGGATGCTTATTGCTTATGTTCTTTTGGTGAAATAATGTCAACAAGCTGAAATTGTTGCCTATTTTGCTTGGTGATTCCTGTGAAAAATTAAAAAAATTTAGGAATTATTCTTGCTTCCTCCTCCATACTCTTTTGGCTTATACATTACTTTCTAATATTAATTACTGTGAAAGGGCTACTGCTAGACCAGTAGAAAATTTAGCTGTAATTTTTAAAATGCTACTGCTGTAGTCAGTTACAAGTTGTAGTGGTTTAGGTGATCAGAGTACAGTAGACTTTTTGGTACTGTAAATTACATGTTGGCTGAAATACTTTAATTTACAGAATTATTAGTGTATCATTTTGCCTTGTGAACTTTTAGGCCTAACACTTTATAGCAGTTCTACAGAATTTGAAGATTAAATTGCAGTTCAGTTTCATAAGTCAAATAAAACCTAAAACCCCATGTAAATAAAGTCAAGAGAGTCAATAAGACTTTTTTTCGGTTTTAAATAGAAAAAACATATCAGGATAAATGAAAATGAACTGACAGTCATGTATTTTACTCTAAGAACAAGTTAAAATTTAAAATAAAGTCAAGAAAAATTAATATTTCAATGTAGATGAAAAAATTTTAGGGTAATTTTGGGATTAATTAGCTCAAATTGATAAAGGAATTACTCAAAAAATAGCAGCTGGGGCAAAACATCCTTTACCCTGATTTTCTATGTTTGTGGTGGTTGCATAAAAAAAAAAAAATCTACATAGCAACTTTCCTTTAAAATATGTATGCATAATTTTCTTTTCTTGAACCTCTCGAGAACCACAGGAAGACAAATGTAAAAAAATGAGCTAAATGGAGGGATTGTCAATTAATTATTCAGAAACATTTCTGTATATTTAAATAATATAATTTAAAAAGATTGATCACTGGGTTTCAAGCAGAGGTATCTTTCTTGCTGTCATTATTTCAAACTCAAGTCTATATTATAGAGCAGCAATCCACAAATTAAAAATCCATTTAGACTTAATTAATTCAAAGAAATATATGCAAATATAATGCCCTTTTAGCTACATAGCTTGTGTGTTAGATTTTGATTCATGGTATTAACCGTAATCTTGGGTTCAGAACAGTTATGGGTACATTAAAACAGACTTTTGATTTTTTATGCTGCTTGAAGTTATTACTCTGTACTCCAGAAGATCAAATTCTTTCTCTCTGATTATAGGCTATTTTTTCATATTTCCTACATTATTTGTAGAATTGTAAATTTTGAGAAGAAAAATCACCTTAAAAATCTCTAGCACGGCACATTTTGTCATGTAAGATGAGGGCCTTATAAAGCTACTTGCATTTCTGCAATAAAGTAACTTCACTAGATTAGCCAGTAGAGAGCAGTTGATGCAGGAGTACCAATACAGAATATACTGTTAGAGGTGGGGACTCAGGACTGTACAGTGTGATGATTTACTATTTTACTGTAGAAGCAGATCTAGGAAATGTAGTCACAAAACAGAAACACCATAAGAAAACAGAGAAAAATACATGGATTTAGAAAAGAAATTTAAAGAAAAGAAACCTTTTTTGCCTTTCTGCAACTAATACTTACATGTGGTCTCCTCTTTAGGATAACTACACATTTGCACAGCCAGGAATCCAGAAGAAAGTGAAGATGTTGGAAGAACTTGTTAGTCGGATTGATGGTAAGCCTCAAAGGCAAACTAATTTCTAACTGATGTTACATTGAAAGTGTTTAGTTAAAATGTTTGTAAGAAAAGCCAAGATGACTGCAGTCACCTGCAATGGTGTGGTAACATCGCCTTCCTCAGGTGAGGTGTCATCATTAGTTTGTGGCACACTGGCCTTTGCGGATCACTGTCGTGTATCATTTAAAAGAAAGCCACTAGAGCATGAGCCTCTTTCATTACTTTTTATTAAGGCAATATAATCAAAATTCAGTGGCAATTTCTTTGCAGCAGAGTAATGACCACATACAAAAGGCAGCCAGTATTCATTTCACATTAAGCCTCAATGGTTGTGGTAATGCAGGCAAGTCACGGTGGTTGTTTATGGTTGTCCTTCGGCACTATGTTTTGTGCCTTTGTGCATCATTTTGCTATCTGGAATGCCTGCATAATTTCTCTGTGGAATCCAATTAATTATGAACTCTGGAAATAACATCTTTAATTTTATAGATAAATTACAGTATGTGCAGGGGTAATTTTAGATTATGCTTTCATGTTTTAGCAGTGCACTTTGAAATATTTTACCTTCATCCTTAAAAGAATTCCTTTCATGAAATGCTGACTGTCATATAGCTAGAACAGAGTTTAATTAAATGAAATGCAAGAGATAATGCTTGCCCATTCTAAACATACTCTCTTGATAGTTTGTTAAATTAATGAACAGAGTATTAACAAAATGTTGCCAAGCAGAACCAGGCATATATTTGCAACAGTAGCCTGTCAGTGATGACTTAGAAAAAATAGTTCTTGTGTAGCTTGATATTTGATAATCCTCTTGGAAACATTAATTCCCTCTTTTTGTTATATATAGTGTGAAGTATTTTTGTGCCTATGCTTGTCATAGGAGATTTTGCCTGCTTGTATGTACATCCTTAATATTTGATAATGGTCTTTGTGCTTTTCTAGGATATTAGGGTATTTGTAATGATGAAAAACCAAGGGCAGGTGAAAAATGTTTGTGTAAAATTATACTATAAACTTAAAAGTATGTAAAAATTGTTGTTGTAGATATATTTTTTTTTAACTGCTAGTGAATACGAAAAGTATGAGGACATATTTCTGTATAATGGGTAGCTAAATATTTATATTAAAATATAGTTTAATCAGTGTATTTTGTTACTTAAAAAATAATCTAACTTCTCATAATGTGACTTTTTATATGTAATTTTAGTCTTGCATCAGTATTGATGTTTACATTTCAGAAGCAAATAATCATATATTAAATGAAGTGTACAATTCCTATAAATAGACTTCTTTAACCTGGTCAATGAATATTTATATAAACAAATTGTTTAACCAAGTTTTTAAAGTTAGAAATAGCATTTTGATAGTCAACCTGTTTGTTCAATTGAATAAAAATATTAAGTATAATACAATATATTATTGTTTAGTTTAAGGAAAAAAAGAAATGCTTAAGTCTTATTTGTACCTTCAGTGCTTTAGGGATATAGCTAAATAATTTCCCTCAGTTATTAGGTTTAGGAAGCCTTATTTTTGATGCTTCACAGTTTAAAAAAAATAAGTCAGTTGTAGCAAATAGTTGTGTCATCTTATACTGTCCTTTGATCACCCTTTGTAACTGAAAGTGAAGTGTGGGTTCCTGTTTTTTATCTAATTTAAAATAAAGTTGTGAGGTCTTTATAATTTTTTTGTAGTTTTCACTAGGCATCATGAGTGTTTACTACTAAATATTGATGGAAATTTAGAGCTGCTTGGGTTACATGGGGCCTCTGGAAGTCAGTGCTCCAAGCCTTTGCCCTTGCCTCGATTGCTCTTTATCTAATTGGATAGGGCCAATTTAGAACAGGCTGTGTGGAGTCTTGCCCTGTTGAGTTTTGAATGATTCTGAGGATGGAGATTCTGCAGCTTCTTTGGGTAAGACTATTGGAAGTTTGACTACTTTTACTGTCATTTTATTTTTTATATAAATAATTATTTTTTTTTAAATGGAGCTTTTGTCCACCACCTTTTATCTCTGAGAAGAATTTGGTTCCATGTTCTCTGCATGCTCCCAATAGGTAGTTGGAGCTATTCACAGACTTCTATTTAAAGCTGAGCAAACCCAGTTCTATCAGCCTCCTTTCATGTGTGAAGTGCTCCAGCTTCCTCTGCCCCCCACTGGGCTTGCTCATGTGTGTCAGTGTCACAGAATTGGATGTAATGCTGCAGACGTGGCTTCCCAAGTGGCAAATTCAGAGGAAGAATCACTTCCCCTGACCTGTTGGCTTCTTTTATCTTTAGAAAGCCTAACATATGTTGGGCCTTTCTTACTTCAAGGACATTCTTGACTTGGGTACAGCCTGTTGTCCACCAGGATTCTCAAATTCTTCTTGGCAGAGCTGCTTTCCATCAAGCTGTGCCCAGTCAGTGCTTGTACAATGAGACTATTCCATCCCAAAGTGATGACCCTTGCCTCTCTTGAACCTCAGGAGGTTTCTCTTAGCCATTCCTTCAGCCTGCAAAGGTTCCTTAAATAGTAGCCCTCACTTTCAGTGTGTCAAGCACTCCTCCCTGGTCTGGTATCATTGGCAAACACATTGTCTCTTCTTTGCTATGATTAGTTTTTAACAAAGATATTGGCCCCAGTGCTGACTGTGAGGGAATACCACTAGTATTTAGTTGTCAATTGGACTTTGTATTGCTGATCACAACAGGGGTACAGTTAAAAGTTTTGTATAGTAAAGATACACATTTTTAATTTTTCTTTGGGCTGTTTCTTTTTGTCTAGAAAATTGTCCACTCAGTTACTTTCTTTTGCAATAAAATCACACCAAAGTATGTGTAAGGTTAAATTAAAGTTTTTGTTGTTAATTGGACAATGGTAGTTGTGTACTGCAGTCATAACCTCTTGGATGCCTCACCTAAGGGAAACCAAACTTGTTGGCTTTTTGGTGGAATCATGACAGTTTGATTGAATATTGTGGTTTACTCTTCATTTCCTTTTTGCTTTTGTCTTTTTATTCTATACTGCAGTTGAAGGGAAATGTATGGCTGATATAAATTCAGTGGCTTTGCTTTTTAGAAAAGCCTCTCATGATCTGTATTTGCTGTACTCATCCTAAGTGCTCATTAAGGTTACTGTGCAAGAAAATAATATTCCTGCTGGTACCGTGTCACATTATTTTCTTGGTGCTGGGTAACTGCACGGTGAAGCAAATCTTGATGTAGTAAGTAGCTGTGTGAGTAGATGAAGCCTGTACTGCTTATTTGCTAATAATAATGGATTACCTGTGTATGAAAGGTGATGCTTGTGCTTTGGAGAGTGCTAATGCGTTATGTCAGTGATTCAAGCAACCTTCATTAACCCAGCCTTATGGATCACAGCTCCCCTCAAAGTAACTGTCCTTGTGTGTACACTCCAGAATATTGCAGAAGACTTCAAACAGCCAAAATACTCTCTTAATTTAATCATAATCTCATTCTGCTTAAACTCCGGAAAATTATTTTGATGAATTGTGTTTAATGGAATTTTTTTTTTTAGTTTGTTAATGGAATGTTGTTACAGATGAGATGGAGTTTGAAGATAAAACATTATTCAATCTCATTAATCTACTTGTCATCATCATTCAGATTTTTCTCGGAATTATACAAAAAAATTGAGAGGGAAGATCAATAGATAGCTCAGTAATATAAGGAATCTCTTATAACTAATTATCTTTTCTGTTTCCTGTAATGCCAATAGATCCTCTCTGCTCTAAATCATGAACCATTTCCCATGGTTTGTAAAAGGTCATACTCACGTGGCACACTATCTTTTACTTCATTTAGGCTTGAAATCAAAGAGATATGGTATTGTTGTAAGGCGTTTAGAAAAATGGTATAATCCTGGAATGAATGGAATGTTAGTTCCTTCTCCTTAGCTCCTCCTTAACTCCTCCTCCCCAGTGTTTCCTTATTGGCTGTAAAACTGTGACCCTGCCCCCTTTTTCTAAATTAAAAAAGCAGTGCATTACCAGTTTCTTCCTCTTTTCTCTGCCCAGTCCCTGGAATAAAGCTGGAACACCATCCCAGGAAGAAGAGAGCCTCGTTTTCTTTCTTCTAGTTCTTGCTATTCATATCTTCCCCCCGTCTCTGGGCTGCAGCAGGCTGGACTGTGGTCACAGAGAGGTTGGGGACATATAAAAAATAGCATGGTATAGGAACGCCCAAATTAATTCAGGATTTGTGTTTCCAGAATTTACAGGTGCTTAGCACTTGGCTGGTGTCATGCTTGGAAGAGTCTCAACTTCTTCACTTTAGTGGAAGACAACTGGTAATTACATGAGAGTTTGAGGTAGCCATTTGGAGAAGGCTGAGCATTTGTAGATAAAAGTAGTCTGGGGATTCCATAAACATTGATAAAAGACGTTAAAATCATGTAGCATTCTATCCAACTTAGCAGTAAGGCAGTTCTAGGGAAAAAAGCTTAGCCTGTTATAATTTAAATGTGTTTTTATATTTGTTGGCTTCTTATTAATATTTCAGAAAATTATAAAGCCAGTATTGACAACTCAGTATAAATATTCTGCATCTTGTGTGGGGATAAGTTTGAAAAGACTTTTTCTGCATCTTTTCTGCAACAACTCAACCCAGGTTTTGCATTTGTGTTCTGCACAGTCTGAGCCTTTTTTCTTGTAGATAAAGAAATTCTCTGTTATTACTGTTTCACATTCTTTCACCAAAAATCACTAATAATTTTGTAGAATTCTCCCGTGAATTTTAGAAGCAAGAGATGGAAAAATGCAGAAAATTATTAAAAATAATAATTAAAAATACTCTTACTGTTGCTGTATATACTTTCCCCCTTTTCTTGAAAATGGAAGTGATGGAAGAATATCTAAGAACATAAAAAGAGTGCTGCATTTTAACTTTCTTATAAGGAAGTTTATCGGGAATTCAGCTGCTATTTTCAAAGGTTCAGTAAAATTTCAGAATTTCTGCTGTTTCCACTGTGAATGCATCTTCTGATCGTCTGGTTT